ATGATAGTCTCTCAGTCTGTGTCAAAGGTTCTAATACTCTTTAATCACAACAAATATAACACCCGTCACTTATTCATCCGAGGACAATTGTTGGATTGACTCAGAGAAAGGTCGGGAGTGTGCTGAGACAGCGGAGAAGCCAGGACTCCTGATCTCCCTTGACCCCGCCAAGGTGAGAATACATGGGTGTCACAGCAAAAGCTTCAGTTGCATGTGTTGGGTTTCACCTGTCTGCCCAGTTGGACCTGAGCAGGATAAGCTGCGTATGTCGACTGACAGATATAGTGTGAGAAGAAAGCGTGGACAAAGACCTCTGGAGAAATCATTTTCCCTTGGCGCTTCATTTAGGGACTTCTCCAGGACTGTGTAATTCATTTTAAGGGACTCAACTGAAGGACCAGCTTTCAGTTATGGAACTTTGCAGTCAAACCTAATTGTTTATGACTTTATAAGCTTTGGCGTACTTTAACACTCTTTTTAGCCAGCTCCAGGAATGGAAATGTCAGTTCATTTACTTTCAATCTATTCCATGGATTGCTATGACATGTTGTACATATAATCATGGTCCACAAAGGATGAATTATACTGACTTTGGTGATCCACCAGCAGGTCGGATTTTTCACTTATACATTGAAATCTCTCCAAAAGGTTTTAGCAAATATCTTTGGCACCACCATGAGGTTGACATTTGAGACTTTCAGTAGAATGTCTTGAAAACTATTGCATGGATTTGCATGATATGGTACAAAATGCATGTCCCCCTCAGCTTGTAAAAACTGACTCCTTCACTTTTCTCCTCACAGAGATTAGTGTGAACTCTTCAATCTGATCATTCTGTACATGTTTTAAACTTTAAGACTTGTTGTCTTGTGACGCCTTGAAATGAATCAGTGTTGAATCAGATCAAATGTTCTGCCATAGCTTTTTGCACAACCTTACGGCCCTTGCTTGTTTTCATTTCAAGCTGTGCCTGCCGATCAAGACTACTCATTTGTTCAGAAGAAGACAACTGTTGGAAATAAGCCTGAGAAAAGTATGGAGTGTGTTTAAACCACAGCGGCGACAGTCTCCCTGATGTCCCTTGACCTGATGAGGGTACAACTCCAAGTGTGTCACAGCAATAGCTTCACTGGGTTGTGTTCGGTTTCACATGTCTGCCTTTCAGACGTAGATCTGAACAGGTGGAGGAGAATAGACCTATAGAGTCCTCTTTTCTTCCTACTTCCCCTCCCTCCTCTTATTTCTCTCCCTCTCTTTTCTTCCTGGCCAGCTAATCTCTCCTCAAGTTTAGGATTCCCGGACCGGGCTCTTTGAGGAGGAGGAAATATGGGGTTGGGTAAACATCAGGGCTCTCATTGCAGGGATTACGACACCCATATATCACCTTGACAACTCTCTTTTCAGCAGATGACAAGTCGCCAGGACGCTGTGCAAGGAGGGATCAAATGACATTTCCTATCGCCACTACAGACACTGATGGTGTATACATATTCACAACATCGTGTCAGTTTATGAGGATCCGGTGTCTGCATAACCTCAGCCAACTTCTTTAGGTTTGATGTTTTCACTCATTATCCCACCTGATAGGCATCCTCAGAGAGGTAACAACACAAACGGAAAAAGGCTCTTGAGAAGTGCTTTGATCACATGTCCTTTCAGTGCGACTGCTGTTCATTGTCCGTGACTCCATTTCACTCTCTCCTCTGTACGGAGTGAAGTGGCATGCACTGCAACACGCTGCTGGATGTATTGTGCAGCAGTGGATCAGCGTTAGTCTGAATAATGTGAAACTACGGCCGGGCCTCATTTGAGAGAATCCAATTTTCATCCAAAAAGACATCAATAAAAAGGTGGATCGTTTTCCCAACCTCTCTGGGACCAACACAACAATTCCATGTGCTCATGCATTTTAACTTTTAGAGGCTTAAATTGTATTATCCAAATGTCCTTATTTTTCTAGGTTGGTGAATCCAGCAATTCCTCTGAGTGAAGATGTTCTCAAAGGTTGTTCTTTTCATTTGTACACAGTGATGACTTTAAACCCTTTAAACCTCATTTCAGAAAGAGCAGCATACACTTTGTAATTTAATTGAGACACAATCAATATGAATATTCAAGATTATTACTGATGTCTTTTCTTAAACCCACCTTGCCTTTATTTTTCACTCCTCTGGTGTTACGGCACGTCCACACAGCGGTGTGCGTTGAAAGCTTCACCATTCACTTTAAATGGGGTGACGTCACTTTTCGCCGAACTGCATTGCGGGAAGCGACGCGGAGCGTTGCTGGCGTGGCTCGCTGCAAAAGTTGAGCAATGTTCAACTTTTGAAGCCTCGGCAGAAGCATCAGTCAATCAAATCATATGCCAGTACAAGCTCTAGCCAATCAAACCGCTGCTTGTGTGTCAGGGGCGGGAGATTCATGTGATTGGTCGTTGGTCGAGTTTCAGACGCAAGCTTCGACGCACGCCGCTGTGTGGACGGGCCGTTAGTGTCAGTTCAGGACACCAGCACACTAACTGTTTTCCCTGGCCCACATTTAAATAGCTTTGATCATTCTGTGATGTGAAAACACCAAATTTCCACAGTCAGAGAAAGCAAAAGCGACGTCCTGGTCACAGTTATAAAAGCTAACGCACATCAGAGTGCCTCTCCTAACGGCTGCTGACAGCGCTGTCAGGCAGGAATCATTCACACTGAACAGTAGAGGAGGTTGTACCAGCGCTTGGTTCAAATCTGCAGTTCAAATATAGTTTAGCCAAATTCCCTGACAGTTGTGTTGCCCTGCCTCATGCTGCTCTGCGTCTCCGTCACCCGGCTCAACTCCACAGTTAGTTATGTGGTGAAGTCATTTTGAGACTTAGTTTTAAAGTTCATAGCCTACCTTTAATCCGGCATTACTCTGTTTACAATAATACATCTTTAAAAAGGTCTAACTGACAAACTGACTTGATTGCACCTGTTTGGTCAATGTTGGATAAAATGATAAACCACAACATTGTCGTGATGTGGACCATCGAGCCGCTTTGTACAGTACTGTATGGAGACAGCAATAGAGTTTGGTCTTTTTCAATTTAAATCTGTACACACACACGTGCACAAAGCCACATGAAAGAAATTCACTTACAACTTGTATAAGATAAAAAAGCACTTTTTAAAACTGCATTTAAGGCAAAATCTTATAAATATGAATTGAGTAAATGTGATATAGAGTACATTGTCAAATGTCGCAGGAAGAACACATGTTGGAAACAGCAGTAGAACGTAATGCTTTCAGTATTTTTCCTTACTAAGATATGTTTTTGATTTCCAAACAGTAAAACTTGACCTTTCTTTGCAGGGAACAGAACATGTATTGCAGGCTGTTTTGTTGTGGGCCAAACAACTCAAGTGAGCTACCATTCTGAAAATGACATAATCCCTCTGGATGTTAAAAGTGTTTAATTTCATGACAAAGATGCTTGAGTTATGCCCGACGCTCGGTTATATGGCATATTATTTAATAACAATGGCATCTCAGATGTTTATGTTTTCATAGCGCTGTATTTCATGTGATAATGAAATCAACAATCACAGAGTACAAAAACGAAATAGAAAAATATATCAGTTTTTAAGCAATCCATGCAGATGTATTCATCTTTCAATAATCAAAGTGATTGCCTGAACATGTTCACTATGTGTACATTATTGTCTGCCCTCAGATATTTTGTATTAAGGCAATATAAATAAAACTAACTGAGAATTGATGTGCAATATTCATTTCTACTGTATGGCTGACAGGCGCAGTGATGGCAGGCACCTCTGGAAGTATGAATAAGGCCATCTGGGTAGAATTATCGTCATTATAACGAAAAAGCTAACAATGATTTATACAAGGCTGTATTCTTCTGTTCCACTATCTCACAGCGATAAGCATTTTGTCATGTTGACGCATTATCTCCGTTCACTCCCTTCCCCTTTTCTCTTTCGAGGCAGGATGACAAATTAACAGCATCAGTTCTATAATTCAATGGAAAACCATGATGTACAACATCCGATAGGGGAATCAACCTCATATGTGGCCCAGCAGCGTATCTCATGTTTTGCTCAAGAATATGAAAGCATCTTGTTTTAATTAGGCATCACTGTGATGTCAAGGCCCCAAGACGAACAATGCGAACTGACCACAGAAGACCAGGCCTCATCCTTCAGCCTCACCGTTCTCTTTAGCAGGAGGGAATAAAGCAGAACTGCTCAGTAATCCCTACAGAGGCTTTTACAAATTGATTTGTGAAGCCATGCGCCTGCCAACAAACCTAATTTATCACATTGCTGTGTCAGTCCTGACCATAAATCAGGATGAATGTCATATTTAAGGCCAACATCACCATGAATATTCAGCATTTGTCTTTGGTTAACCCTGCACATCTGGCATAGATGTTGTAATTTGACGGCTTTGGTAGCATGAATCCTGACATATCTCACTGTGCTGGATCAATAAGTCTACCTTATATAATCCTACATTTACTAAGCAGCTATATGGATTTCAGCTCAACCGCATCCACCTTAATGACTCCTGTGCAAACATGGCGGGCATTGCAGAAGATTCACTTTACACACAGCTTAACTGTGGAGGTTCAAACTACTGATCAGTCATTAATCTGCTTTACACCTGAAGCACCTCTGCAGCCTTTTCATCCCTGTGGCGTTCAGTTGAAAAACACATAAAGCGGAAGGTGAAAAGTTGATATCCTTTATCACAATAGTGGGCAAACATTTATTCCTGTTGCCACATAAAAAACACCCATCCAAGTGAGTGTGCACAATCACATACTGTAAAATATGTGATAAAAGACAGCAACCTCGCCTTAAGCATAAAAGCATGACACTGGAACAAGACACCTAAAAGACGTTTTCCATTCTGTTTTGTTTGGCCTCTCTTAGATATGTATTCACAGCGCAGGAACTCTGGGCTCACTTCAGGAAGACATAAAGAAAGAAGGGGAAAGATTAAGGGCTTACCTTTGACTGATGAAGCTGGATGCCATAGAGAAGAATATTTCGGAGCTTTGCTGCTGAGGCCAGGTCCATGATAGCTTCTGGCTCCACCGCTCTCCCACTGACGGACAGCTCATCTGAACCACTCAATAGCACCTATCAAAACAGAAGAGACGGTGCCAAATCAGAAAATGTGATCTCTTACTTTTTTGGGAGCAATAACAGCTCATTGTTCAAGCAGGCGTTTCAACATGTTGCAACTCAATTGTCCTGATTTTTAAAGGATGTGTTCAGGGAAGATCTTGGATCTGTGGTGAGAGTAAACAGAGGTTGGTTGATGTACAGTCCTGTCTCCAGATATAATGATTCTCTTATTAAGCTGTAAATCTTCAGGGCCTCTGGGTTTTTCTGTCCAATTAGAGGAGCATAATCCAGACACATTGTTTCACATTACTATGTCATCCCTAATGCAAATCTTAGCCAATTACCATAACCCTTCCCCTGACAGAAACTTGAACCAAGATGTATTAATTGCAATTCATTCGTCATATATCCTTACAAACTGCGGCAGTGAGACGTGTTTATAGTTATGATAATCGGTTGAATTGTGTCAAGACGCCTGCTCTAATTGAGCAATTATTAAATTTATACTCGAGTATCAATCAGGCGCTTGCTGTCACCTGGTTCAATTTGAACAGTGGCGAGCCGTCAGGGCCCTCTAGGCCCTCTCTGAGGGCCTAAGATATTCTAAAAAATAATATTTAAAAACATTTAAAAAATATATTATTTTTTTTAAATATATATTTTTTAAATATTATTTTTGTTATATTTTTACCGAAAAAACTTGATTTAATTGTATTTAAAATAAAATTTCCAAAGAAATAAATCCTTCGAATCTGCCTGTTCAGTTTCTGTTTGAATGTGAAGGGTTACATGAAAAAAGCTCGTCTGGCCCTCTATGCGATTCACAGAGGGACCGCTATAGTAAAACAACGAGAGAGTAATGTCAAGTGACAGTACAATTGACCAATCATATCTTCCCTCTAAATGGGAGGGCTTTATTATCGCGGACTTTATGACAAGTTCCGCCCGCTGCGCTGCCAAGTTTATGCATGTGATATATCAACGGGTCAAGCTAGGCGGAATTAGCATACGTTCATTCACGATGGCTCACGTTAGTGATAGTGATGACATCGTTGCGAAACTACTAACCGAGTCTTTTTCAAGAATGAGTTACACGGATAAATTGGAGTTAATTACCAAAGGGCGACCAACACCACAGCTTAATTTGGTTCAAAAAACCAAACGGTTCGAGAGGCATTTTAATATCGGCAATTACGCCAGATACAACTGGATGACCGATCAACCAGGGAACAAAAGCTGTACTGCTGGGATTGCTTGCTTTTTGGAGCGGACAGTGGGTCATGGGCCAGAGATGGATATTCTGATTTAGGAAGTTTATCCAAATCAGCACATCGCCATCAGAATGCTTCAGGTCACCTCAGAGCTACTATTCGGCTTAAAACATTTGGGGACACCAGGATAGAGCTCCAGCTGGATGAGCAACAACGCCGGGGTGTCATCCTTCATAATGAAAATGTGAAGAGGAACCGAGGAATTTTGAAACGCCTGATAAATTGTGTGGTGTACTTGGGCAAGCAGGAGTTGCCGTTCCGAGGTCACGATGAGAGTGTAACTTCATCAAACAAGGGGAATTACATAGAGTTGCTGGATTTAGTGGCAGAATATGACAGCGACCTGCACACACACCTCGCCACATCAACAGTATTTACCGGCACATCTTCAAGGATTCAGAATGACCTGATCAGCGCTGTCGCTAGTGTAATGACGGATAGCATGAAAGAGGAGCTGAGGAAGGCACCTTTTGTCGCGGTCATGTTGGATGAAACGACAGACATTAGCAACGTGGCGCAGATGTCATATGTGCTTCGATATGTCACTGACGATGGGATAAAAGAGCGTTTCTTCAAGTACGAAGATGTGACAGAGGACAAACGAGCAGAGGCCATAGCTACACGGCTGCTGGAGTTCCTGAGGGAGAGTGGCTGTATTGACAAAGTGGTCGCACAGTGCTAAGATGGAGCAGCTGTTATGGCCTCTGGATTGAATGGGGTGCAAGCGAAAGTTAAGGAAACAATTCCACAGGCCCTTTTCATTCACTGCTATGCTCACATCTTAAATCTCGTTTTCTCAAATGGAGCTTCCAAGATAAGAGAGTGTAAGGTCTTCTTCTCCCACCTCTCTGGCTTGGCCACCTTTTTCAGCCGCTCAGCAAAGCGCACCAAGCTACTGGATGATATTTGCCAGCATAGGCTTCCACGGGCAGCTCCTACTCGCTGGTGCTTTCATTCTTGCTTGGTGTGCACAGTGGCAGATAAGACCAGGGAATTGAGAGAGGTAAGATAATAATAACAATGAACGTAATGGAAATATTAACAATAATAAAGAAATGATTTAGTGTTGGAAACTACCCACTCATAAAAACATGAAGGTAAAGAACTATGCTAGTATTACATTAAATGAAAAGCTAATCTTAGTGTTTACTGGAGGTCTATAAGTTGTTTTTTCTAAACTAAGCATTACTCTCGTAGGTGTTCGAGCACATCGTAGACCATCACACAGAGTTTGATGACGAAACTGTTCATTGCTCTGATGGATACATCACCCTCCTTACCAGCTTCGATTTCAGCTTTTGGTTGAAAACCTTCCACGCTATCTTCTCCTACGCGGATGTTGTTTTTGAAATACTTCAGAACAAAGGTTTTGATATGCAGTTCTGCCTGGCCAGAGTGGATCAGCTACAGCGACAAATTGAACAGGAGAAGGGGAACTTTGACAGCGTCTACGATGAAACCCAGGCTTTGGTTGGTCCTCCGCGCGGCCGTGGAGCTCAAGGAGACGTTCGTGCACGGTACAGGGAGCTCCACTGCAGCGTAATTGACAGCCTGCTAACCCAGATTTCCAACCGCTTCAGTGACCACAAAAAGCTGGAATTCCTGGCCCTTCTGGACCCGCAACAGTTCGGGCATTACTGTAACTATTTCCCAACTGCTGCCTTGAACAGTTTGATGGAGAGCTATGGCGGATATTTCGACCAGCCTCGACTGCACACGGAACTCGCCGTGATGTACGGCATGTCTGACATTTTGGGGAAAAGCCCAGCCGACATTCATCAGTTTCTCCTCAAAAAAGGACTGAGTGAAAGCATGAAACAGGTGTACACCCTCTCATGCATCATCCTGACAATACCTGTGTCCACTGCCTCTGTGGAGAGGTCCTTCTCTGCGCTGAAGCGCATAAAAAGCTACTCGAGGTCCACGACTGGGCAAGTCCGACTGTCAGACTTGGCCTTAATTTCGATCGAGAAGGAATTGCTGATTGCTTTAAAAGCAAAGGATCACCTGCATGACGACGCCATCAAGTTCTTCATCCAAAAAGACAGGAGGATGGACTTTGTGTTTAGGTGATTTGATCATCAAAGGTAAGTCAAAGTGATTTTCAATGTGGGCCGCCGTGCCGACTTAATTCATTTGTAATTGTTACTTGGCTGTGGGTGCCCTGTCATGATAGGTGTTTATATAAATGGTGTTGTTTTGTGTGGTAGAGGGTCGCTGTCATTGATGCGTTTTGCACCCCGGGCCGCTGTTTTGATATTCCGCTGAAGTATACTATAGGCTGTGACGTAAAAACTTTTTCTTTTTTTTTTCCGAGGGAAGAGGGGGGTGGGGTCAGAGGGCCTAGGTAGAAAAGTCACGGCTCGCCACTGAATTTGAATAGTGATTATTCAGCACATTAGCAGCTAGTACACCTCCAGGCCAGAAGTTCACGAGGGGACTGAAACCCTCACAGTAATGTTTATGCCAACAATATGAATACATATGTTCCAAAATAGAAACTGCAAACACTTTGGCATGAATTCATTAAGCAAAGTGTGTCTTTCATTTTGGTAACTTTCTTAAAGCCAAAAAGTTTTTTTTTTAAAAAGATAAATTATTTACTGAAGCTTCATTCAGTTACACAATAACATGTTGAACTCATGTCTACCTTTGGCCACTGGCTGGGTTTATAGGGCTGTCAAGAGAGAGATCTCTACTTTGTAAACCTTATACTTCAGATATAAAATACTTTGTACATTACATACATTATATTGCCATTTACAACGACATTAAAAAAAAATGTAAAAGTACCTACTAGAGAGTTAAGGTTTTGGGTGATCTAAAACATGAGCAGTCTTTTTCATCACGAGTGGAGTTATTCGATCATAAGTGGAGCCCGATTGCTTTTTATAGCCTCAAAAGACGTCCACCGCAGAAGGATATAATAAACGCACTTCTATCAGTAACCTCAAAAGACCAGAACGAAATGCATCAACAAGAAATGTCTATTCTATTTTTAATAGGAGAGCTGCAGGTGCTATCTGTAATACCCTGATTAATACAAAGTGGTTGCTTTATAACCACTGTGGTTGCAAGTAGGTGATGGCCACAAACGTCAGTGGACGAATACAAGGCAGGTCAATAAGTGGTTATTTTGATTTGATATAAAATGGTGCCATCACCTCCTCTTTATTTTGTCATTTAATATCTGTCCTCGCAATGAACAACAACAACGTTTTTTTAAACAATTGGTTTCGCACAAATTTAGAACTGAAAGATGTTTGTGCCCATAAAAACGTAGTTCCTTTTTCAAATTAAATGCCAACGTGGTGTAAAACTTAAGAATTGTTGCCAAGGGGTTTAACTGTTATCCAGGAATAGGTTTGAGGTCTCCCGACCTGTGATGTTAACCGCCAATTACTGAGAGAAAAGTGTCTACTACATAACACAAAAAACTCCTGGAACCGACATCAATCATATATTTATGAAACTAACAACATGAGACATAAGGTGCTAATATCAACAACATGGGGCTCTGTCTTTGAATACAATGCTCAAGGCTATAGCACCTCATATTCACAGACGGATTGAAACGGTGACCTCCACCACGCAGTCTGCCTCTCTGCCCTCGAGGCTACCACCTACACTTCAAACTCAATTATCCTGCCACTGATCACTACCATGTGATCAAAGCTGTGATAAATAACGGGGTGTGTGTGCAACCTAACAACAGCCGCCTGCAAAAAAAAAGGTAAGAAAAACACGTTGGTGCTGAGCTAAGCTTCATCACTTATAACCGTGAAACTCAGAGGCTGCTTCACGTTTAGTCACAACTTCCCAGACACTTCACACACATTCTGACGTGACCATGAAATCAGTTTATAACGGGAGGGAAAAGTAACATCTGTGTGATCTGTTATAGTAATGGATCATTGTCCTTTAAATGCTTTTTGTGTGAAACGTTACAGACATGGTAGCTTTTAATAAAGTCTTTGTGGGGCTGCAACTAATTAATGTTTTTATTATCCATTATTTCCTCAACATTATACAATGTCAGTCAACAAACATTCAAAGGGCAACAATTATTCAATTTACTCAGAGAATAAAAAACCTCACATTTAAGAATCTGTTTGACTTAAATTACTTTTGAATTCTAACAAAATTGCTGTTAGTTTCTGTCGATTGATTGATCAATAATTTCAGCTGTAATTTGTTTTAACTAAAACTAATTTGACAGGAATTAAGGAGTAGCATAGAACCGAACACAATATGAGTGGACTATATTAAAGTAGAACAGAACAGAGGGAAATATAGTCAACTAAAAGCAGTAGAACAGAATAGATTAATAGACGAAGAATATATCAGTAGCAGGATTAAATAGAACTGAATAGAATAGACCAACATTGAGTGGAGCGGAGAACAAGAGAACAAAAATATGATGTAAAGAACAATACTGAAGAAAAGCAATTTTGAACGTTGTGGAATTGTGGGAACTCTGACATGCTTTTGTAAGGAGTCAATCCCACTTAAACCCAGCTTCAGTGTGTGTGTGTGTGTGTGAGTGTGTGTGTGTGTGTGTTTCCATCTGAAGTGAAAACTTGTTACAACAAATACAAGCGGGGGTTCCAGTTAGGTAATGCAGCGTGACATTTTCAGTGATTTTCGTTTTGTGGTAGCGATCTGTACGTATATTTTCTTATTATTACCTGCCGTTGTTTTGGCTCTTGTTCTGTGTGTTAGCCAAAGAGGTTCAATTTACCAAATAAAAAAAGTGGATTAACAGGTCTTTTACAAATATTTAGATGATTCTTGGATCGGATTTGATCAGTTGTTTTAGGCTTTGCTCTGTGTGAGCGCTCAGGTCAGTGTTGCTCTGTTCGCGGGCCAACAGTGAGCGAGACGAGTTGCAGCGCTCTCCTGGGAGGTGTTGGGTTTCCAAACAGCTAAAGAGCTCATCAGGGGACCCGAGGTGGACTACAGGTGACGTTTTTACAAGCGGAGAAAAAAACACAAGGTTTGGTTCCCTGTGTAGTACATGATTCTTAAAGAAACTGAATCTGTTCTGCACCAGATGTCTGTATTCACAACATGAAAAGAAAAGTTCATTCATAGTGTGGGAAATGATACTGATACATGTTTTACTATGCCTCTTAGAAATAACACAGACCCGCAGTAGCTCTTTAAACACGTTGGAGATTTTTTTTTAAGGATAGAAAGGCAGGAAACAAAAAATATCAAGCTTGTTAATCTAAGCATTTATAAGTGAATTCGCCTCTTAACAGGGTAGCTTTGCAAGACTGAAAATGTATATGCTAGGATGAATGGTCCAACAAGAACTTGAGTGTGTACTTAGTTTTTCATTATAACACAGTTGCAGATGTATTTCTTCTGCAGTTGCTCATGCTAATGATTTATTATTGGGCTTATATTCAATAAACTGTAAAATAAGTCCTTTTATAAAAGTTAGACCAGGATGACTGTGAAAACTGAATGTGTTTTGAACAATGTTGTTCTTCTTACTTGTTTTTGTTCATCTATATACCTTTTCAAGTGAAGAGAAGAAAAACAAGTAATAAGTAGGATTTACCCAGTTTTGTTTGTTCTGGCAACATGATGATTACATTACATTACATGTTACTTGTTAGACGCTTTTATCCAAAGCGACTTACATACTCAATACTGTGGGCAATCCCCACAGGAGCAATTTGGGGTGAAGTGTCTTGCCCAGGGACACAATGACATGCTGACTGCAGTGGGGTTTGAACCTGTGACCCCCTGATCCGAACACCAACGCACAACCCACTGCACCACACGCCTCCGTGTGATCCTGTACTCCTTATAACTTCCTGTGCAGTGGATACAGCATAGTTCCTGTAATTACTCAAATATATGCATTTATTCTTCTTCACTGCTTTAAATATCTGTCCTTAAAATCTAAGGTAGTCTAGGCTTGGCTCTAATGATTGCAATGACTATCTGTTTATCACTTTGCTCCAAATTGGAATAGCTCAACAACAATTTGGATACACTGCCATGTTATTCATCGCACATTCTACTGATGCCTTGACCCTTCCTCAAAAGCCACCATGAGGGTCACATATGTGGTTCTGAGAGGAACCAACAATATTTGTATCAATTGCCATGACATTTGGTACAAATGATCATGTCTCAGCCTTACAGAGTTGCCAGTGAGGCTGCGATACCCTTGAAGTATTTTCTGTAAAACCATGAATTGAGTGTCAGTGTGCGGACTTACCAAAATAACAACTAGCGGGTGGAGGAGAGCCTGTTTCGCTGCCTCCAGATCTGTCAGTAAAGCATCCACTTCCGACAGGCAAGAACGATTGACCTGGAGACCAAGGAAATTGAGAAGATAAGAAATGTTGGAGCAAAGATTACATTTTTCTCCACGATGACCTGCAAGATAACAAGGTCTGCTAGAAGCTTTTAGAAAACGTAGACCCTTGTTTGGCAGGAAAATATCATGAATATTTCAACAGACAAGTTTTAATTTCTCTGGAAAGTTGTGCTTAAAATGTAGACTTACAGAAACCTGGATGAAGTTCCAGTCCTTTAACAGATACCCGCCATTTTCTCCCGTCAGATCTGGGATGACTGCCAGCTCCTGTAAGACGGAGATAACCCTGATGTTAAATCTTCTGTTTATATTCTGCTTGTTACCGGATCTGCTTGATAACGATTAAAGCAAGAGCCGCAGTACTGGTGTCGTAATGCATTTAAATTCATTGACTGTTTGACTTCAGTGCTCAAAAGGTCAAGAGGCTTCTGGTTTTTGTTTCAGCTAATTCTTTAGTCATTTAGTGTAAGAGTACACCCAACTGTTTTCCTGCCATGACTGATTTTAGGATTATAAAAACATTTAAATACAGAATAGAAATATGCGATTGTGGCTTGTTTCCATTAACTGTAATCAAAAGCTCATTAGAACAAATGGAACATATTAAAAAAGGAAAAAACTGTTTATGGGCTCCTTTATATTTCTGAACTGGCATCCAAATTCTGCCTTATGCAAAAGCTGGGGACGGCGATCTGACACAAGCCAAGTTAAATTTCATTAGGCCACAAATTGAGTCAAAAGCCGTCGCACAGCCAAGAATCGTAAAAGCTTTTTTGCACAAAGAACCATGACATTAAGGCCCTGATATTTTCAGTTAACTTTGGCCTTGGCATACATAAGGCAACCGGATAGCACACCATCTCCGCCATGTTTCGTTCCACATTCATCTTTGTTGTTGTGACTCTAATTACAGCTTGGTACTACAATTTCACACATGCAGGAAATAAACACAGAAATAAACATTCACCCTCTGAGTTTGGCATTGCGATACAGTTGTTCATTCCATTAAAATAACAGAAAGTCATCGGAAAAGTGAAAGGGTTATGGGGAGACATATGTCTGAGGGTTAATTGGTCTTGAACAGGGTTCCTGCAGGTTTCACCAACTCAAATTTAAGACTTTTTAAGACCACTTTGAATAGAATTTAAGACCTATTTCACGGCAAGAAAGTATGAAGGAAAATTGCTACGAAAGAAGAAATACGTCCCATAATTACTTTCAAAGTAAATATATTCACGTTCAACATAAGAACGATGACTGAACATAACAGCACACAGAACTGTTAGCCATAAACCAGAAAAAAAAGAGAAGTGTGTGTGTGTGTGTGTGTATGTATGTATGTATGTATGTATGTATGTATGTGTGTGTGTGTGCGTGTGACAAGAGCCATCTTCTGAGCTCTGCTCCCTTGGCTACAATCTTTCATAGTTGCTGTTGTAGCCGATTGGTGTTTAGCTACGGTATTGAGCGTCCACAGGACCTCCACTTTAGGGTTGACGTAGACCAGGGGTGTCAAACTCAAGGCCCGGGGGCCAAATCCGGCCCGCGACCTAATTGTATGTGGCCCGCAAGAGCTTGCAAAGAATATAATATACAATACAATTGGTGTAATTGTTGAATATTTACTTTAAATTATTTTCCCTAGACTTCTGCTTTCAGACGTAGTTATTTAGGAAGATATTACCAGATCTGATAATAATCCAATGCAGGGACAACAATGTAATATAATACATTATTTAATATATATTTATATTACAACCGGCCCTTTGAGTGCAACCATAATACTGATGTCGCCCGGGATGAAATTGAGTTTGACACCCCTGACGTAGACCCAAGCGTCGCCCGGAGGCAGTGTTCGCACCGAATATTTTCCATAATTTTTTTTAACAATGATGGAAAAATCGGAAAGCAGTCTGTCATTTTGAGGGATTAGAACAAACTCGGAACGCGCAAAAGTTTCCCCGCAGCGAGGCTCCGGTGTAATGCCGTGTTATGAATGCCCTCCAAAAAGGAAATTATATAGTTTCCAAACCTAACTTTGCCGTACAAATCATTGAAATGTCTGGGAGTTTTTGCTTTACGCTGTGTGCGCTCCCGCGAGGTGCATGCATATCTCGGCGGGCATTCAACACCGGCGTAACGGTTCACGAGCGTGCTCTCGCTAGCTTGGTTGCTAGGTTACTAGCTGGGTGTTCTCCGATAAAGGGCCGGGGGGATACAAAGTTAGTGATTACTGGTTCAATGTTGATTTATTTCAATACAAATTGTTGGGGGAACTGAAAGGCTATTACCGTACTGGTTACTTTGCTGCCCGGACATTTCCCCTAAAACACATTTAGACGTGATCGCAACACAGAAGTACCTTTCAAATCCGATCATTTTTAAGACCTTTTAAAGTTTTTAATCATATTTAGGAACTTTCACATTTTTAGGATCATATTTAAGACTTTTTAAGGCCTTAAATTCTGATTATCAAATGTAACACTTTTTAAGACCCCGCGGGAACCCTGTTGAAAGATAACTGTCCATTGCTTCAGGAGGAAAATCATTTCAGTTCAAAATGTAGATTTGCAGGGTTTCAAAAAATGACATGATCTAAACCAGGCCGGGCATGAAATTCCAAAGTAGGGATGTTTATTTAAATGTAGTCATGGCCTGGAGAGCCAAGAAGCTGTGGACACTCAAAGACCAAACCACTTTTAAGGTCACAAAAAAACAAAAAGCTCAGCACAGCAGTGAGATACCCGAGGCATAATGAATTCTAAACAACTAATGAAGAGACAGATTTTTTGTCATTTTAATGTCTAATTTAAAATAATGCACTGTTAAAACCCTGAAAAAACATTACAAAGCCAATAAAAAAAAGAAGGGTCTACCTATTCAAGTGTAGTAATGACCCTCTGTATTGATTAGGAGATTTGAGTCACCTGACATGGAAGTTGTTGAAAAGAAAACTGAAATTGACCAATTTACTATCATTGTTGTGCTTCATTTTTCACTAAAATAGACAGGTTAGCACCCAGGTGTTGAAAATAAGTTTGGTTTTTAAAACCATTTATGTAATCAACTGACAACTACATTTTGCTCTGTAACCTGGATTCAAACTGCATCAAATGGATCTTCCAGATAAGATCCTGCTGATAGATGGATAAATTAATCATATTCCTACTGTGAGTGTTTACCTCATACACACGCATGCTGCCAGTTCCTTCACCTGCACACAAACACACATAAACACACACACACTACTATACTGTCAGTTTTTATCTGAACGGCCCAACTTTCCTTATCCCTGTATTAGATCCACGTAATGGCACTGGGACAAAGGTAATACTTCATCTTCCGCTTCTTCAACTTTGCTTTCATCTCTCCCTCCATTCTTCTTCCCTTCTTAACTCCCTGAAAAGGATGTATCTGATTCCGAAGCACGCGCACCGGAAAAACACATCCCCACCGGCCACCTGAGGGGAATGGCTCCAATCAGCCGATCCACAGAGACTGACACTGACCCCAATCTGTCTCTGGGGCCCAGGCCAGCGCGGGACAGCCAGATCCGCCCATTTCACACCGGCAGATGAAGGAGTTGGAACGAGTTTAAAGGAGAACAGTCTGTTTGGATCACGTTGGAATATGGAAAGACATAATGCAGCGTGCTCTGCCTTCTCCTTTCCACTGTCAACACCTCCACCGGGGGAATATTTATATATATACTTTCATGAAGATGATCGAGGAACCACGTTTCAATATATGAAGCCATGTATAGGTGATTTGCTCTGGATAGTAGTAATAGGACAGGCACATAAAGTATGAGCACATGAACACCTGTACAACATCTGTAACTTTGTTTAAAAAAAAATAGAGAACCCTTAAAGGCGTAGGTTTGGTGCTAGACTCATGTCGAAGTATATTAAACAGTTCAATTAAAAAGGGGAATGCGTTATCTTTCAATTGATATGCATTTATATCGATCCAAAAACACTACTTAACGTTTCCATTTTTATCACCAAGTGATTTATTGAGAGTTTTTTTTTGTATTGACAGTAAAAAAAAGTTGTTATTAATAAACAAGAATACAGTTTGAAAGGAGAGTGATTTGTAAAATATCCATAAAGAAAATGAAAATCTGCTTACTGTGCTGTTTCATATGGGTGTTGAGAAATGTATCCATAGATCTCTTAATGTTGCTCTCAAAGTGCACCAGATTGATGCTTTTAACGTCAACATTTTAAAAAAAAATCTTCCAGGGGGAACATGCCCCCCGGACCCTCCTAGAGAAAGTTAGGTTTTCCCCCCCCCCCCCACCCCACTTAAATCATATTCACATGGATAGGAAACTAAATTGCACACATCTTGTGTCCATATCTTTCTGTTTTGGTGGTCATGCCACAACCGTGCACATGCATGCGTGAGTCATGGTAAAATATCTGGATTAAGAGGTTGCTTTTTCTTTGCACAGCATGAAAGAAAGGTGAAATGAATGGGCTGTGATTTTAGTATTATTAAGCAGAGGTCAATAATTTGTACGGCCCTCGGAGGATGTTGAAAAAGTTGAAATGGCCCTTGAGAGGAAAAAGGTTCCCCACCCCTGGTTTAAGGCAAATGTGTTATATGTGATATTGAGCTATATAAACAAAATGTTGACTTGGACCAAACCTTTAATCCCATATGCTTTGCTAACATAGCATGCTTGCTAACAAAGCTCATGTTTATGACATCCAGCTTTAAAAAGAAGCAGGAAAGGTTGCTTGAGTTAATGGTTACGTGTCTAGCTCAAGGAAAACCCAACTGTTGTTGTGGTAAAGGAGAACATTCTACATGTGGAACCTCTGTGTGGTCTGAACTGTCCGATCTAATATAGCAGACTATCACTCTTCACTGTTTTGCATATGTTTACTGTTTTCCATTGTCTATTAGGAACAGTTTTACCAATTAAAAGGAGGATGTTTGCAACATGGGACTGTGATGCTCCCAAAAAAAACCTTAGGAATGAAAGGGAGGGATATGATCTGTGGTTGAAACTGGAAGCTTGTCAAGTCTGACTGAGCAGAAGTGGTTGAAGGATGATGAGGAGAAGGAGGAGGAAGAGGAGGTAAGAACTCATCACTAAACACTTTATTAATCAAGCAAACTCCCACTGTAGAGGAAATATGAACACCATCTGCTCTACTGCATGCAGGGGAGTGAGAAGAGGAGGTTGGGATGGAGGATGCACATGAAGAGGAGGAAAGCTGCAGACAGTGTATGTCCCAGACAAGCTCCATCAGAGGTTGGACCACAGATGGTGGCATGTCTCACCATCGGGCCCACCCAAGTGGAGCTCACGGGGAGATTGAGGAAAATATAAATGGCAAACTAATGGGGATCTTCAGTAATGCTGTCATCAAAATAGCCGCTTTTTAGTTGGGTTTGACTGACAAACACTTACCATGTTGAGAGCTCCAACGGCTTTCTGGAGGGCACCAGCCAGTGTGACGGCTTGTGCAGATCCACCTGTGATAGCACACGCCGACCGCGATAGAGTATCTGCAAGAGAAAGACAAAAGACTGTCTCAAAACCTCCTGGAACATGCAGAAATAACACTTCTCCAACACAGTTGTAAATATGTTATACTGTTTCAATTAACCGAGAAAAACGTTTACTTCCAGATCCAGGGGGGCAAATAAATAGCACCTTATGGTGAAATAAGAACTTAATGGTAAATAAACAGAACATAAATGAACAATCTCAACAACATATAACAGCCAGAGCTGCAAAAGACTGAGGACCAGAAGGGCTGCCTCACTCAAAAAGCCATCCATTTAGAAATCAGTTAAAAAGTGTTCAAATAAGCACACTTCTTAAAGATATACAGCCATGTGTAGGCCTGCACAAGCACTCACATACAGCCCACAAAATCACAAAGACACACAAAGTGAAGCACACAACAGTTTCTCATACTGATAGATGTGAGAACTTTCTTCCAAAAAACATACAATGAATTCATTCACATCAGAGGCCCTGTGAATTATCACTGGCACCTTATGTCATCATCAAACAGGTAACTGTTGGTCCAGGTGCTGGGGGGGTGAAATATGGGGCTGTGTTTATTTACTTGTCTGATTGTGTTAATATCCCTTGTCCTGACTTGCTTTTTGTAGTATTCCCAGACTCTTTATACTCAACAAGTTTTAACCAAGCTGAACAATGCTTCGAAGAATGCACTGCTCTCGTACAGTACAGTAAGGGGGTAATTTGGTTAATTCAACAAAAAGAGACTATTACTTTTTAACTATTTTCTGACCATTTAATCTATCTGACATTATGTTATTAAGACGGGAGGTGACTCACCTTTGATAATGGACTCTGCAGCAGCCAAATCTCGTTTGTAGGTTACCTGAAGGAGAAAAACAACCTGGGTTTAATGGATCAGTTGCCCCAAATATAGTAAAAACATTTGTATCCATAGGAGGTGTCTGGCAAGGGCTTTGGTTTTATGTGCCAGGATATTAACAAGATATCTACCTCCAAAAAAGATAGCACTACACTAAAACACCAAAGGTGGAGGGAATTCCATTTGGTTTTCTCAAAGCGTTGAAAAAGTGACACGATGACAATAGCTTTCACAGTGTCTAAGGACAAGGGAAAAAGGAAACACATTTTGTTTAAAACATTTTTTTTATTATTTGTAATTTTGTATTTAGTTTTGGAAAAGTATTGCCTCCCAAAGCCTCTAGAAAATGTCAAATGAAAGAATCGAATAACATGAATCCACTGCAAGAACTTTTCCAGGAACCATTTTAGAAGCTCAAGAGCCTTAGTTTAGACCGGAGTTCCCCCACCATCTTTACATGGTTGCCTAGCTTTGGTTAATAATAGGAGTGAGGTGCAAGATTCGTGACAGGCAAGGGGAGGTATGGCAGGAAAAACTATATTTTCTTTATCCCCTGCAAGTGCCATTTCTTGCTTTAAGTCACGAAAAACAATGCTGCTCTTTTACTCTAAAGCTCAGTTTATAATGGACTATATGTTTGGGGGAAAAACAACTAGAAAACCTCATTAAAAGCTAAAACCTCCTGCACTGATCTCCTTAACCAAAAAGTATTTCCAGTAGGTGAGAATAAATCTGTCATGGACCAAAATGTCGCCAAATCAACAATCCCCAACCCCCCTGGAGAGCTCACCTTCCACAGTGTTGGCGGGCCCTGGATGAGCTTTGCGTTGGTGCCACAGTACTGCAGAGCCAGATGGAGACACTCTGTGCCGAACTCAAAGTCTGACTCACTGCACTGCAGAAGGACACAACAGAGAAGAGCAGCTGTGGACTATTGTTGACAACAAAACATTTCCATCACACTCTGTGAAACTGTGTTAACCCTAACCCAGTGTTGGAACTGCACCACAGGCTGCAACAAACTCATTGACAGATGTATTGAGAATCTATGGTATAATAATATGGTATAAAACACTTTGTATTTAAGAATAAACGTCAGAATTGTACACATAGATGGATATATTCTTGATTTTATTCTTAATAGACTGGAAGGTGAAAACAATTGTGTTAGGCTAGATTCAATTAACTAAAAGACTGATATTTAACATGCTAGTTCTGTGAGGCTAAACACATGCTGCTGTTTAGTCTCACTTACGTGTGTTACAAATCTAACATTTGCTTTTTAACACTTATCACAGCTGAGGCTGACGAGAAGGAGAAGTGATCTTAATCTGAAAAGGCACTAGAGGAAAGTTTGGCGATTATTAAGTTATTTCAATTCACCCTGTGAAGACCGTGAATGTCTTCAACACATTTAAAGGCAATCCATCCAACAGTTGGCAAGACATTCCCCTCAAAACCACAAATGTGAACCTCATAGACTAGAGATAGACTAAAAGTCAGTGGATTGTTGAAGTGAGTGGGAATAATGCTCTGAGGAACATGTCCTTTACTTGGGAAATTGAATGTTGTACTATCATTTCTTGGCAATCGAAGCTGAATGGATAATAATATCTTGAGATTGAGTTTTTGATCTGTGGGCGCTGCAAGGGAACAACCCAGGAAATAACCTAAATTAAATGCGAATGTCCTTGCTTAACTTCAAACCTGTCTGCAACTTAGATTTTTAAGTGTCTACATGTACATGTGGAAATCATACAAATGGAACAGTTAATTCATTGTAAGAAATGTAACATTCAAATTAGGTGCCAGTTTGACAGATTGGTGCAATTGTGCCTCAGCACCGAAGCTTTCAACAAACATCGCCATTCAGAAGAGGCCAAAAAGTAAACTTAAAACACCTGCTTTTAACTATCGCCTAACATTGTTATTTACAAGAAAGCAGACAATATGACCTGCTGTCTGATTAACTCTTTTGTGCCGACAATCCTGAGGTGACGGGGTTCTGTGCAACATATTGTCGTCGCCTTGAGAGTTCTCAAATTCTTCTTTAACTTACTGCAAATATTTCACTCAATATGTCCAAAACCTTTCATACTCTGTATCGAGATTGCAGCTGCTGTCTGAACAGAACAGAAACAGGCTCATAGGATGATACTGCAGCACCACATCTTTCAGCAGACACTTCAGGCGATATGGTTTCCATTGGCAAATGGACTGTTAAAATATCTTATCTCTCTGAATTTGTTTTTATCAGGTTATAAGAGCTTTCCTCACGTTATTCTGCAAGTTGTTTTTTCTATAACTCTGGATGCTACACAATGTTTTTCCTACATATAATAGAAATGGACAAATGTTTCCCACAGCCTGGTGGGTCACTTGATTCTTGTTCACTTCTCAATCTAAAGGCTAACAGTTTTACCCATAGGAATGTATTTGTGTTGGATGCTGAAAAACATTTCCAAACATACAGTATAGTAGTTTAACACATTTTATCCTAAAAGCAGCAACTTGTAAAATGGTCTTTAACTTCACTGCACCTATTCCACAGCACAGATGTGACATTGTTGATCTAGTGCCTTATTTTCCCTTGTTCAAGTTATTGTTCCAATGCTCATTAGTAGGTAAGGAACATGTGGCTCTAGTCAATTTCATTCAAAGGGAATGCTACACATGAAAATGTGATGCTTTTGTGCACAAAACAGCTCAAATAATGTGTAACCTGTTACACAAAAACATGCATGACTGTAGCTGCATGTGCTACAAATGGGAGGAAGGGTAGTTCTGTCCTAATTCACGGAAAGTCAATGCAAAAAATAAAATAAATAAAGGATGAAAAATGTATTTGTGAGCCGAGAGAAATTAAAGTCTATTAGAACTGATTAGAATTGATTTCAGGTGACTGCAAATCTTGAGGTGCATGTTAATGCAGAATCTGGGACAGAAGTTGGAAAATAATGTATACCTTTGCTTTTTCAGGGTACAATAATCCATATAATAATAATAATTTGAGTTTTCAGGCCTTTATTTAATGTTTAAAAAAGATTAATTCATGTACTTTGATTTGTACCAGTGAACTTGGTATTTGTGCTTTTACTCACAGCTGGGAAAACTAAGCTGGTTTAGATCAGGGGGAAGTTTGGAGGCAATGAGCTAATTTAGTTTATTTCAGTCCACAAGACTGCTAAAACAAATCCATGCTACCTGAGATTATAGCTGGGTAATATTTTATCAAGGTATAACTGAGAGGGGTCTTTTATGCCATGTACGCTGGAACCGAAGAGAGAAATAACAGCAGGAATACGCTCTCCGTCGTGGGGTAATTTTACCTTTAGCATTATCTCCTGGTACAAAAGCTTTCCCTGGGGACCGGATAAAGTGTCTCCCCCTTTGTCTTTTCAGTGCTAAATTCTTCTGCTCTCAAAAGATGTCAAGCTACAAATGTGCAACTGTCCTACAGTCCTAACCTGACACTTTTCCTATTTTTTGAAAGGTTGACAAGCAGGAGAGCAAAAGGGAGAGAGAGAGGGGGTCCCTTGTCACCCCCCTAGTTTGTCCAGCCTTGATTCTGCAGCATTTATGAGAGCTAAATATATTATTATATCAAATCCATGAGAGCTTCCAAAGCAATCTACACATAGTAAAAAAAGAAACTTGAGGCATATTTGAGCTCTTGGCTCAACATTTTCTGCGTCCTTCAGAGACGTGGTTATCGGAATATCCATCTAATGAAGTCAAGCAGCTTGAAATAGCAAGCTCAAATAAATAAGGTAAACTTCTACAATTTTAGTTTTAATATTAGGTTTGCGTGCATTAGCCTGCCAAGTCTCAGCAATAAGCCCCTGCTTTCAGCAAAGAATCAACGCATTTACAGTTTACGTCAGCGGATAAATTCTTTCCATTTTTCAGGTACACATATTAAAACTCACTCAACTGCTGAGACCATTAATCCAACTCCACCTAAATGTGCCATGTATTTTCAGGGCTCTTTCTCCATTTTTCCAACTTAGCCTTTGTTCACATTTGTTCCACAGACTAATCTGCTGGAGTGTGGCTAAAAATATGAACGTGTCGTTTCTCTCCCAGACGCAGCAGAGGCCAAGAGAAAATGATAGGACCCACGCCACAAGCTTTTTAGAGGGAAACCCTGCAGGTTCTGGCACACCGGCTGAACAATGAGGGACTGTGAAGGCCTGTTATGATGTATGAGAACCATTAAGTCCTTTGTTATCCAAATGGTGTAATCTTTTAGAGCATACATCTCAATGTGACTGTTATTTCATAAGACTAAAAACTATTTTTTCTGCATTCATTTAGGAGTGGGTAAAACGCTGCAGAACAGGATTTTTCCAACTTGTGATATTATGTGTTGATTTTGCAAATATATAGCAGTTGCAGAAATCCACTCAAAGTCGTAGTGTGCTGCCTAACTTCTTCAGTTGCACAGAATGAACGCTCTTCAATTTAACAATGCATGTACAACAAAACAAAACAGTAATAAAGGACTTACATTAATGGATACATGTGACCAATGTGCTCTTCCCCTGCAAGTAACTGCAATAAAATAAGGGAATATAAATTGTATTAGCTTTCTCATGTGTTCACTTGTTGTTTCTGCTACTTTTCAAGGGTATTAGCTACAGCCATAACTTTAACAACCTAACAAAGAAGCATGCTTAATTGAGATGAGCAGGATGCTTTAGTTTAAAACATGAAGAGGTTACAGGGAACAGTGTATACTTTCATATATTGTTTATTGGATAAAATTCAAAGTTGCAAAAACAAGAAAATGATGCTACGGGCAGACTACATCGCCAGGAGGAAAATGTATCGCAGCCTCAGGAAACGGACCTTCAGTTTGGGCCGTGACAAAATCAGCCAGGACATTCTTTTATTCCCGGGCAGTGCCTGATCTCCCCGCCAGTTCAGCACTGCTTTTTTCTTGCTTCTGCCAGTTTGGATTTAGTCCAATAAACAAAATATCAAAACGTATCCCTGGTTGTAGCAGCACACGTGGCTAACATAAACTATGTGCGGACACCACACAGCAAGGTAAAAGTTTCAGCAATTTGGTTTAAATGTAATATACTCTTGTATTGTATGAATCCAATAGTAGATGAGAATGCTGCCTCCTATTAGTTTGGAGCATTTGGCCAGGTATTAGACATTGCACCTTTAATGGCATGTCCATGTTTCTTTTTCTTTCTTATCCCGTTTACACTAATTGTTGTCTTCATCTTAACGTTATTGTACCCACGTTAATAACAGATGAACACCCTGGTGTGTGTTAAATGTGAATGAAATGACAGACTCTACCTTCTGATAGGCTTGATAGATGACATCATATGTGAATCCCTGAGGCATCTCACTGGCTCTGTACTTTGCTCGCTCGAGAGAATGGTCCAGGTAGCCCTCTGATGTGGTGGCTATCACCGTGGAAACGAGAGGTCGGATAGCTCCTGCTGCCTGGGCGAAAAACAAAAAAGTATTTAGTATTTGTTTAAAATACAATAAAAGATAGATATTTTATCACTAAACAAGCTCAATCTGTGTATTCATATACAATGATTTAATCAATTATCTAAAACATATTGCTGACTTGGCGCTTGATGGGTGTTATGATACAGTCAGCTCACAGATCAGCTTTTATTAACAACACATACATGTTGATATTGTCAATTTATTTTTTAATAAAGTTTGACAGTAAACAAACTATGAAAGTCAAAATTCATTTATCTTAGTTTTCCTACCAGTTTTTGTTGAGTAAAAACATAACAATCTTGTTTCAATAAATGAAGACCTGCAATCATTAAGCAAATAATGGATTAATCAATCGAGAGAAAAATAATCGGTACCTATCTTGATAATAATTTTAATTCATTTTTCATTCAAAAATGTCATATATATCCGGTTTAAAGTTCTCAAAGATGGATATTTCCTGCGTATCTCTGTTGATATCATACAAGACATCCTGAGACATCAATATGGACTATAATGGGAAAATACATTTGAATTATTTATACATTTATAAAAAAAAGATATTATGAAATGATTTGCAGACTAATCAATACTGGAAATAATCAATAATTGCAAATCTGCTGTGTTTTTTGAAAGACTAAGATCCTGCACAATATCATATAATCATGAAACACATCGGTCATACTTCGAGTCAGCAGCCATATTACACAGTAATGTAAAAGCCAACAGCTTTAGTGCACACTGCTTTTACTTCTTGGAAATAGAAAATAATCCACATTTGTGAGAGAATATTTTTCTCTCCCGACAGCATGATAGATGGAAGGCAGTTTTCTAAGAGTTGACGGCAAATGAAATGAAAGCAAACATGTGTTCTGCGTGTTACACATGCTGTTAAAATCAAAATGAATCTGCTGCTTTTCAGTGGAGACGGGCTCCTTGCCATGAGCGTGGACACTGGCAGGATAATGAAGACCAGACCGCCTGCTGTGAAAGTTCATCACAAAGCACACACACACTCTCAAACACACCATTAATGTTGCCCTCACGTCAGGGAGCGCTTGCTTTCTTCACAACCTTTGTGACCTGCATTGAACAGAGTCTCAGTCATGAATCAATATGAGACTAATCTGCAAGTAAGGTCGTCACAGCGGGCGTGACTTCGGCCTGAATGTTTTCCATCCATCACTGATGAAATAAACCTCACCACCGGGAGCGATGGATCTGTCAAACTGATAAACAGTTTCTCTAAAAAGATGGAAAGACCTTAAGGTGTAATCACAAGAACTGTTTGTCTTCTTTGGTCAAAGCTGACAAGAAACCGTTGTTGTACTTTTAGTGTTTGGTTTATTTATGTTCACACTGCACGTTGAAAAATGAAGCACGGGTTTGCACAAACAAATAAGACGTGTTGCAGTTGGTAACTTGTCATCCCATAAGGTGTGAGTTTTGATTCTTTAAACTGCAGCTGACCATGATGGATTTTGTTTGAATTGTTCTGTAATTGACCTTCTCTGGTTTTCAGCAAAAGTTAGATGAAGAAATAAGCTACAGTCTAGATTTAATTAGTTTAACTTCGCTTTCCAAGCATGAGGAACTACTGGCATTTTGGGGTTGTCTCCTCAATTTGTAGACGCATTACGATGAGGAAACACAGGCTATTCATAAAGGTTACACATTTACAAGCTATGTTTACATATAGGAGCATTGCAGATCATTATAATTATGATCATTTACAAGTTCTGACATTAACTGAGCTTTAAATGCTTCCTCGTGGCAGCATTGAACTAATTGCAGTGAGCAAAGGCCCAATTTCCATAGATTTCTGTAGAAAGAAAAAGAAAAAATGCTACACCCTCTTGATACCTCTGCAAGGTTTAAAATCACTGACACAATCTGGAAACTGGGCTCAAAATCAGCATGTGTTGTCATGCTGCATCTAACAATTATTTTCACGATTACATTTTGAAATAGTAGACTATTTTGTCTCAAATGTCTAAAAATAGTGATAAATGCCCACTTTTCCAGGAGATTGTGATTTCTTTACTTTCTTGATAAATCCAGCTAATGGTTTAGAAAACATCTAAAAATAGTAAAAACATATAAATTCCAGTTTCCATAAGTCCAAGTTGTTGTCTTTAAAAAGGTGTCAACAGACAAAAACACAAACATATACATTTTTATATTATGTGAGGTATACTAGCTGTTATCATACTGACTCCTTGTTCCTTGGCAGCCATGGCTATCTTGTACAGAAAATCCTCCTCCACAAAAGGCCGCACAGCATCGTGGATGAGGACCACCTTCGGTTTGTCCGCCACCGGCCTCCCCTCCCCCAGAGCCAGGACTCCGTTATATATCGACCTGTGGCGAGTCGAGCCGCCTGGCACCACTCGAACCTTCGTGTGCTGGAACTGCTGGACGATGTCCGTCATGAGGTCCATGTGTTCTCTGGCAACAACGACCACAATGCTCTGGATCCATGACACCCTGCCAAACACAGAGTCCACTCAGCAACGTTTGTTTTGTCAGGTGAGAAGTCATAATAACCAAGGAGGGTAGGTAGAACATAACACCTACTATAGTTTTTTTACATATAGGAATTATGGCTGTAACTAATCTATTGATTTATTTGCTTGTTTCATCTGAAGAATGTTGAAAAGGCCTGTTTAAAGTTGAAAATGCTTGTATTGGCCAACCAAGAGTCCAAACCCAAAGATATTTGGTTTAAATAAGAAATACAACCGAGAAAAAGTTAAAACCAGCAAAAGTACAATACAAAAGGTGTTTAAAAGTTGTGGTTTTGTTGTTCTACTAAACTAAGCTAAGTGTCTGTTGGCTTTGACATCATATTTAGTATACAAACAGGAGAGGGAAATCAAATTAGCGCAGTTCCCAGAGTGCTGAGCTATTCTTTACATAAATTACTTTGCCTAAATAATCAAAAAGTCTCAACATTGTTAAATAATAATATATTATCATGCATCTAGAGCCAATTACAAACCCATGCAGCCCTACTTTTAATTCACCCAGCTTGGATTATGGATCCAAATCAACCACTAATCAGTACTGACACTGATGACCTATGAACTTCTTGTAAGCACTCAGGCCACACAGATGCAGGGAGCATCTGCATCCTGCTGTCTAGACCCAGGATGTTGCAGGAAGTAGTTCATTTCCCGACAACATGTGAACACTGTCAAAAAGCTAAGAGCAGACACATCGGATTATCAAACCGGTTGTTATTGTAATGTTGTAATGAAGGACAGGCAATGATCACACATCCATCCTCTCCATCATTATGTATCAATGATTTGATACATTGTTAAATAAGATTGATGATAGTACACAAAAGTAAGTAGGCTAGTAAGATTGATTTTCATAGCACCTTACAAATCCTGAGGTACTTTAGAAGTGCACATAATAAACATGAATCTGATGTTTAAGAATAACGCTGCCCTGGTTTTCTCTGTCTACCTGCAGATGGGCAATATGAAGATATTATAAAAACCATAAAATTACATTAAAGTGTAAATCCTGAGCTTTGTCCATCCCATGGTAGGTATCACTAATCTCTCAGAGTAGGCTATGAGACCATTTTGGAAACTCAGTGCCAGGATTATTACAAATCTTTGCCAAAAGTATTTGTCATTTTAAATTTAAATGTAGAAACAGACATTTGTGTATGTATTGATGTGTGTATTGTAATGTACATTTAGTTCATATATCATTTATAAAAACAGACAATGAAGGGGGTTTCATTTATGACAAAACATCATATTTGATCAACTTTTCATGCACAAACTTGCATAATGTCCACTCCGAATTGTAGTGGATAGAAATTGGTGTGCAAAGAGAGTATGAGTACCTCTTATTTGTACTCAAGTACAGTAAAGTTACTTGAGTAAATGTACTTACATTAAGCTAACGGTACACACAGACACACACCGGCCGTTAGAGAAAGAGATGGACCTGTTGTCACCAACGTTACACCTGTAGCCTACCTGCAGGTTGCATATGTTCACAAAAAGGGATTATGACATTTTAAATGTACGCCTTTTCATTCTCCTACCTCTCGAAAGCCTGTATGGTGTAGCTTATGAGCGGCCGACCCATAAACAGGCAGAACTGTTTCGGTGTCTGTAGACCGGTTCTTTCCCCGGTGCCTCCGGCAGGGAGAACGACTGACACCGGGAAGTCCACGCTGCGTTCCGCCGGCTGGTGGTCGCTCCTCCCGGCCTCACAGGTTGGGAAAGTCCCGGGATGAGTGGGCCTGTCTGGGTCACAACTATCGCTTTGCATCTTTTTGTGGTGATCCTCCATCAGCTGGTGGGTGAGGGGTCACGGCAGGTAATTTCTAAAACAGTCCATTCCCCGCTGATGGGGAGGGGAGGCAAAATAGCGGCAACGTGGATGGATATTTAGAAAAACAGCGCTGTAAAGCTGGAACAGTTTAATGGAGTGTTTCCGTTGAATGCTTTCAAAATAAAACAACAACTTTAGTCTAGGTTTTGTTCGTTTATTTGACCAAAAAGCTTCTAAGGTGCATAGATGGGCATTGGGCTGACATATGTGTCTATAACATAACTGTTTTCAGATGTCTTAGTTCTAAAGGTGAGAAAGTAAAAGGCCTAGATCCCCAGAGAAGCGAATAACTAAGTACCATAGAGCTTTTTTTCTTCAGAATAGTAAAATGCTTGCCCCGGAGATGTGGGGGGAGTGCGTAGGAAACTTCATATGAATTGACAAGTATATTGCCAGTTCATCATACTGTATTGTAATGAAAAGAAAAGTTAAGTTTAGATTGAAGTTTATTTTGAAATGCTAAAAAAAATTCATTTCCGGTCAAATTCAAGTGAATGCAATCTGGAAAAGCTGCCATGCTGCTATGGATATAACAAGCAGCTTTTGTTCTGGCATGATTTCAGTAGGTAGGTTGTCGTTGCATGTCTCTCGATAACTTGTATATCAATCATATTCAATTAATACTCAATTATCAACTATCAGCATTTGAGCATTCCTGCAGTATAACATTACCAACATTATATATTTTAAAGGTCCCATGTCATGGCCATTTCTACTGATCAAATTCCATTGTTGAGGTATAGATTTTTATTGTGCAATTTTCCAAACGCACATTGGTTTCTCATACGGAAATGCTCATACTCTGTAAAGTATGTGTATTCACTCTCTGTCCTAAACGGCTTGTTGGAGCTCCTGGGGGGGGGGGGGGGGGGGGGGGTGCTGAGGGGGCTGCAGCACCCCCATCTGCGAGGCTCCACTAGCACCCCCTCCCCCCCAGCGCGTCACAGTTTAGCCGCTGAGAGAGTGTGTGTGTGTGTGTGTGTGTGTGTGTGTGTGTGTGTGTGTGTGTGTGTGTGTGTGGTGTGTGTGTGTGTGTGTGTGTTTGTGTGTGTGTGTGTGTGTGTGTGTGTGTGTGTGTGTGTGTGTGTGTGTGTGTGTGTGTGTGTGTGTGTGTGTGTGTGTGTGTGTGTGTGGTGTGTGTGTGTGTGTGTGTGTGTGAGGAGCTCCACGGATTGGTCCATTTGGACCAATGGGTCCATTTTGGTCACGTCACTGTACCCAGGAAGAAAAAGAGAAATCTCCAACGAGGCGTTCTGGGGCAGCATAGACAGGTATTTTCTGTGTTAGAATTGTACTCGCTACAGGGTGTACTTTGAGGGTTTGTGACTTTGCAGACCGTTTACATGCATAAAAACCATCATAACACATAAGGGGACGGGTAATAACCGGAAAAGGATGACATGGGACCTTTAATATATACAAGTGTGCAACTAAATGACAGTTAGAATAACAGAAAGATAAATGAAATTATCTATTACACATAGTTTATATGAAGAACCTAGTATCTCAAATCAAGACTATTCCTCTGTAGATATGTTGTAAATGTACTTCTAATTTTCACCAGTAAGTCTAACATAAGAACTTCATATTGCTTTGCATGGTTAACTGAAGTGTCATACCTGGTAAAGCCTCCAAAGACAACAATACATGTGATACAAAAAGGGATATTTATTTTGTATAAAGTTACTACAAGACTGATTGATGACAAAGCTTTTCCAGGTTTTACCCACATGCTGAAGTCAATTAAGCAATCATATTATATGTTGTCACAGAGAATATATTACATCAAAAAAAATCATAAATCTTACAAAGTAACATTTTATACACATGGCCATTCTTAAAAAGGCAAGTAAGAATTTGATATATGTACAAGTATTTACACTGAATTTTATTTGAGATGTTTGGTGTTTACCGGTGTTGGTGCTTGAACTTTAGCTCTCCATCTGCACATACACTGAATATATAGGAACCATAGATAGGAACGCATGCATATGGCTACATTCAGGGACATTGTATGTTAGCTTGGGGCTCCAGAAAGCACTGCAGATTGTACACCCCAGTTCTGTTCACATTATCTTTTCACCTTTTGGATACAACAACAAGAAAAGTCCTTAGCATGCCTTTTGGAGTTCTCCCATCATAGTAGGGAACCAGCTTCACCTAAATTAAGTCCCAGTCACATTGAGAGATAATCCACAAACTCTGGACATAGTGTCTCAATGTCACAGAGCCAAAACTCCGTAGGGTCATAAGGATTCAGAGTGAGTCTCAGGGCTCAGCTTCGTGCCAGTTCTCACTCAGCCGGTTCTTCGCCAGCCTCCTCTTGCTCTTGGACATGTGCTTGCGCAGGAGCTGCGGTGGCAACAAAGCCGGCTCCTCGAATTTGTTGCCCGACTCGTTGTGCATCCTCGAGTACCTCTTGCACTTGCAGGAGGTGACAACAGTGATTTTGTATGTTCTCGTGCTGCCATCCTGGCATTGCAGCTGGATGCGCTGGGTGCGGGTCTTGTCGTTGACACACCGCCAGTCCTGGTTGCTGCTCCGACGACCCCAGAGCTTCCTGCCATAGGCGCCGCCGATCCAGTTCTGAAGCATCTGAGCTGGGAGACACTCTCCAGCGCACACCAGCTCCTTGATGGGGTTAATGCTGGTGCAGTGGCCATCAGAGATGTACTTTGTGGACCTCAGCTCTCTGCATCCAATTTGGCCTCGCTCTGTGGAAAGACACAATGAGAATTATGAGAATCTGACAGCTGGATGTATATCGGAGAACATTTCTAAATCATGCATTTAACAATTTTTTTTTGTCTAGAAAAAGGCAGTGAGTAGTGAAAAAAGCTTGTTAAATGTTCACATATCCTGACGTAACATCTTTAAATGTCTTGTTTTTTCATTCCAAAAATCTATATGTATGAAAAAGAAAAGAAACTAATCCTTACATTTGAGACGCAGAAATTAGATAGTGTTGACTTACAAACAACCAAAACAATATTTTGAATCTTTTGATAGTTGTTGGTTGATTTCCACGAACTGGCTAATTGTTGCAGCTCTAACGTAAGATTCAGTTTTCCGAGCACTAATTGAGACAACAAAATGACACACCAGTGAATACATGTCATTACTTCATCATGGTATTGAAACGTTAATAACGATAATAATGGATAACTTTCCAGTCCTTTATCCTGTACATTATCTTGGTTTTGAGCCCCTTCTTAGCCTCTGGCAAAGTCAAGGACCACAATAGCATTTTGACCTTTGCTTCAAAAAGCAGAGGAACTTTGGCATGTGAAAAAAAAGTCTCTTTTTTTTATCAGTGGATTGTGACTGGATGTATTATTCTGCTGCAGGCTACAAACACTGTCCCCCTGCTCGCCCCTCCACCACTGTAACACAAGCTCAGGTCCATTCATACAGCTCAGTGACAATGCCCCCCCCCCCCCCCCCCCCCCCCCCCCCCCCCCCATGTGACAGTGTTTGATGAATGAACTCCCTTGCTCCCCTCCTTCCTTCACCACTAGCTGCTGGGAATGCCTCAGAGCAAAATTAGGAGACTTCATGGGAGAACACCTCTATTCAGCCACACTGACACCCAGTGGGCTATACCTACCTGGACCAAAGCCAACTTTATGAGCTCAGTGTGCTTTGACACAACCCCCCTGCACAAGACTCTATCCAAAATGTACTGTTACCGTATAGACATTTTTTTGATATTTTCTAAATGTTTCATACCACACTAATTTGATAGCCTGTATGCTATTTTTTGCAGATTAGCTATTTGATATTAGGTGTATCAAGGTGTAACGGGATTAAGTGCCGCATTAAAGGGTCCCTTGTTTGACTAATTGAGATGTAGAGACAAAAGCGATTAATGAGCTTTATCAAGAGTTTATTTCTGCATGCAGCCTCGAATTAGGAAATTCAGAAAGTGGAATGGAAAAAATGGAAAACGGTTGCATTTGCCAGTTCGGTCTAAAGATGAGAGCTATTGGATGAGTAATCTAATAGCATATCTTGGAAAGACATTATGCAGATATCAAGACTGTTTAATGGCATGCAAAAAACTCAACATTAGAAATAACACCAGAAAATAAAATAAAACAATAAGGCAATATTCCTAAAGAGTGCTATCTTTGATCACAACAAGGTTACTGACACTTTATCAATACCACACACACACACACACACACACACACACACACACACACACACACACACACACACACACACACACAGTCACACACACACACGTCTCTATACAAATATGTTTGCAGTTTATGAGGAATAAACAAATAATAAAGCGGCTCCGGTTCTCACCCCCTCTGTCCTGCCCTGCGCTGCCCGCTCCTCTCCCGCCGGTCCGGGCTCGGTTCAGGGTCACATTGCTCTGAACCTCCGGCACCGGCGCGCTCACGTGCGATAACAGGAGCTCCGTGGCGTCGTTTTGTAATGCATGGCAATTCCTCAGCAGGATGCAAAGTACGACCAAGGAATGGCATGACGTCTCATACGCGCTCAGGTGCATCATGATTGCTTTCTGGGAAGAGGGAGAGATGTAGGTCCGCTTGGAGAGAGAGACTGATGCTGGAGGAACATGTGAGACCCGAGGTTTTATACAGCCGGTCCGCCTCGCGCTTTGGCAGCTCCTCAGGTGCGTCTCTGTTATGAGGCTGTGATTGGTTGCAAACAAATGTACGCTCTTAAAATAACCCCTCCCACTCGCTTTTGGTTGAGGGGTTTAAACTTTGTTTCTGGATTCATGATGATGATAATGATGATGGGATTAGATGCCTGAGTGATTGGCACATTAACACTTGTTTTTGATGTGTGATATAATGATAAGAGAACGTTTTTTTTCTTTAGTAAAAGGATAACATATTGGAATCATTTCCATTGTTTTCAATTGTTGTACCGAACTTCATCAAAAAAAGAGATAGGCCTAAAGACTTAGGCAGTGATAAGCTTACTCCTTTATTTTTGGAATTAGTTTGAATCAAGAACATTACAAAAAAAAGTAAATATATATATATATTCTAAACAGAGAAATTGCAATTCAAATATTTTTTTGTTTTAAAATAAGAA